ACCATTTTAGTTGCCCTCCTTTGGACATGCTCCAGTTTCTCCACATCTGGTGATGTTCATGTGTATAGTCTTCTTTCTGGTTGTATGAAAAATGTGTTTGCAATGAATAGGTTGTTGGCTTCACAAAAATCAATCAGACACTCACCTGCTTCATTTCTTTTGCCTAATCCAAATCTGCCTACTGTTTTTGAATCTTCTTTGTTTCCAACTTTTGTGTTCTAATCTCCAGTGATCAGCTTGACATCCTCCATTGGTGTGCTGTCAATTTCTTCCTGTACACCTTCATAGAATCTATCAATTTCTTCATGTTCTGCCTCTGTGGTTGGTGCATATACTTGAATTATGATGATATTCATAAGTTTCCCATGGAGCCTTATTGAAATTATTTGGTCTGATTTTGCACTGTATCCACTGTCTGCTTTTGCCACATCTTTTCTTAGTATGAAAGCCACACTGTTTCTTCTTTTCTTTCCATTGCCTGAGTAGAATGCTATGTAGTTGTCTGATTCAAAGTGGCCCATTCCTGTCCATTTTAACTCATTCACCCCCAGTACTGCTATGTTCATGCATTTCATTTCCATTTTTACTATGGCTAGCTTCTCTTGGCTCGTGCTCCTCACATTCCATGTCCCTATTTTATCTGTAATGCTACTTTGGATGCTATTTGCCTCCCTAAGGATGCCTGCTATTTGTCTTGGCATCTTTCTTATGCCTTGGCTAATCTTGCAAATATTATATCCCTTTATCTCTCCCTACTTCCATTTCTGTTAATGTTATGATCCTGCCTGTGTCTCACTTGGTGTATCTCATCATAGATGATGGGGTTATACAAGGAGGGCCACCTACACCTCCCTGTGCATAGTGCCAACCTATGTTAGCTATGGTGTTACAATTCACTCCTGTCAGTGACACCCACCACCACTGCTGCTGCTGAGTAGCTGATTGTCTCTCTATATTATTCCTCTCATTGTTGTTTGCTTTCTTTCTTACCCATCCCCTTATGCCTCCCTGGGTTTCCCTCTTTCCCTTCCCCTTTGTCTTCCCTCCTTTAGTCTGTCCCCCTCCCCATCCCCTCCTCCTTTAGTTTCTTCACTTCTTTCTCCATGGTTGGGGGAGGGCAGAGATGGCTGGTTGCCTTCTTGTTTATACAAGTCTTGCATAAAGCTGCAGCTGCTAGTGTCTCTCTGGTAGCAGGATCAGCCATGGCTAGGCCTGTCATGTCAGGAATATCTCAGGCCCAAGTTCTTAGATCTAAAAACCCTTGATGTAAGAATGATCCCTGGTCACTGATAAAGGGGGAATATGGACAGAAGAAATGAATGAGGTGAATTCCTGGAGAGTCAACAGCAGCCATTCTAAAGCAGTTTGTGGCAGGATCAGCAACACACAACAATATGTAGGCAGGCAGGTAAACACATATGTGCCTGTGCACACACACACACACTACACACACTTTTCAAGGCACAGCCTTCCCCCTAAAATTCTTCACCCTCCCTGTGAGGATCAGAGAAGAGGATGCAGGCCCTGAGACTTTGGAACATGACCCCTAGCTATTAAATGAAAGATAACTCACAGCATTGTTGATACTGTCATGCTATGAGTCTCCATCATATTAAGTAGTCATAGCAGACTTTGGCTAGTGAAAGGGATACATGTAAATCAGCTCAGAAATACTGACTCATCCTACTGCAAAAATGCTGACATCTTATTTGCCTTCCAGTGGCCCTCTGGTGTCATTGGACAGCAACTCCCATGTCTCCTCATCATCACCTCTGACAATTTGGGTTGCTAAGTATTGAAACCCAACAGCAGGGGTAGGCAACCTTTCCCCTTTAAGGGCCGAGGGACTTCAGCTCCCAGAAGCCTCAGCCATACTGGCCAATAGTCCCATGTTGGCCAATAGCTCCTGGGATTCTGGGAGCTGAAGTCCCTCGGCCCTTAAAGGGGAAAGGTTGCCTACCCCTGCCCAACAGTATCTGGCAGGTCACACATTCTTCAACCTCTCTTGCAGGGTTGGTGCAAGGATTAATGAGAATACTTTTGATGCTCTACAATATGATACCAAAATTAAGTGTTCTTGGGTACAAGAAAGCCTCTGGTGATTAACAACAACTCTCTTTCTTCACCAATATTTCTTTGAAGACATCAGCAGTGAGGGCCAGCTTATCAGGTGAAGCAGTGCTCTGAATTGGTCATGTATCTGATTGTCACACCCTCTAATATTTCACAGATGAAAATCAGGGTACATTTGGCCAAAATATCAGAGACAAGATGGCAAACATTATTTAATGAGGAAGAATACACAAGCTAGAAGAGGCTGTAGGTTTGCTTCTTTCCTAAGCCTACTGAAAATGGGAAGATTCTGTCCCTCCTCTCCTCCCCCCCCAATCTTAATCGAATGCAAACTATTTTAACACTTTGAACTCAATTTTCAGCAACTGGAGTAAGCTGAGAACAAGATTAATTGGAATTGTCCCTGATAAGTTGGGACAATTGGAGAGTATGGCATATTGAAGTGGAAGATTCCTTCAAACCTGGGATAACTTGACAGCTAGGCTTTTGTCCCCAAAGTGGAAGAACCTCAGCAAGACATCTTCAACCAGGGGTAGTCAACCTTTCCCCTTTAAAGGCTGAGGGACTTCATCTCCCAGAATCCCAGGAGCTATTGGCCAACATGGGACTATTGGCCAAAATGGCTGAGGCTTCTGGGAGCTGAAGTCCCTCGGCCCTTAAGGGGGAAATGTTGCCTACAACAATGCCTGGTCCGGAAGACTAAATGCAGCACACTACCTTTCTGGGCAGAAGCTGTTTAAGACTGGGAAGCAAGGATAGCTGAATAGTTAACTCCTTCTTTTCCTAACACTCCTCCAAAATCAGCTACTCAAAAGGTGGGTAGGAGACCATTTCAGCCTAACATCTAGAACAGGGGTAGGAAACCTTTCCCCTTTAAGGGCCGAGGGACTTCCGCTCCCAGAAGCCTCAGCCATGTTGGCCAATAGTCCCATGTTGGCCAATAGCTCCCGGGATTCTGGGAGCTGAAGTCCCTAGGCCATTTCAGGTGGTTGTATAAATGGAGAGCAAGAGCAGAAAAGAAAAAGGCCAAACAGTCTAAAGATTTTTGCGTGGCATCCACATGCATGACAATCTTTACTTAGCAGTGCTTATGACTGGGATAAGCTACTTTCTTATTTAGCTCACTATTATTAAAAAATGTAACATTTTTGCCAACATGTTGGCTTTGTCCAAGAGAACCAGAGCCTTTGATTATAAAGAAAAGCTTTTGCTTCTAAAATTTTACTAAAAACTGATGAATTACATAAATGTGCCCTTTGTGAAAGTACTCCATGCAAAACATTATACTACAAAGAATACTATTAAATTCAGTTATTCAATTTAGGAGCAGATTTATGTCTTTCAATGGCTCACAATGCAACTGATTGTGTATGAAGAAAGGGGATGTATTCTAGGACTACCATGGAGAATCCTGTCTGCTGCTTCAAGCCATTCCCAACTCTTGTGTCCCATTAAAAAGACAAGTCTTCTCCTATCATTTTTTTTCCTTTGGAGTTTGATTTGCTTTTTTGTCATTTCCATATCCAATTACTTTCTTGCTTTCTTTTGTCACACATGCAATATCAAATTATGTCTCTTGCATGTAAAATGAGAACCAGAAAGACTGATCACACCCTTTCTTTCCCAGGCTTCATTTTTCTCACTTTGTTCATTAAAAAACACAACAAACATCCATATTTTTTTCTGTTATGCTTGGCTGCAAATATTTCCTCTCAGATTGCCAAAGAATCTTGGTTTGCTTTGTATCAAAATTCAATGGATACTCCTTTACATTGCCCTGTTAGTCAAGCCTGAAGTTTCTTCTCCTTTCTTCCTGGCAAACTGGGGTCACAATTGTGCCTTCAAATCAGTTATTTTTTTTGGCCTGTGTTTAGAGGTTTGTTCTTTTGGATTTTCTCCAGTTTAATCCTCAAGAGAGTCTTCGGGAAAAGGGGGAAGGGAAATGTCCAGAAAAAGATGAAGGAAGGAAGCAAGGCTGGGCTTGTAGGAAAGGGATAATAATAGTGTTTCAAATCCTTCCTAGTGGGTCCCCCTTTGCCAAAGGCATACTACAGAAATACACTAAGAAGACATTAACTCTCCTTACCTTCTTATCTAATACAATTCTATCTACCTTGTAATCTGAAAGTCCTGGCATTCAGTCTTGCTGCAGCTGGTGAGAGTGAACAATTTCCTTCATGCTAATTTAATTAAAAGGATGTTTGGAAATTAGCTTATTAAACACAGGAAGCATTGTTCATGCTAACTTCAAAGGAGGGAACAACAAAGTATTCTTTGAATTTCAAAGCCACACCTTCATGTCTGTTCAACTTGCCCCCAACTCAGGGCTAAGACAAATTTGAACTGGAGGAATTCACTTTGCCAAAGATGTACATAGCCTATTGAAATTGTACATATGAAAGAGATGGTTAATTAAAGATTGGTCAGGTAAGCAAAGGAGTTGTTGTTGTTGTTATTATTATTATTATTATTATTATTATTATTATTATTATTATTATTATTATTATTATTATTATTTGTTGTTTGTTGTTGTTGTTGTTGTAGTAATATTATTACAGGTATATTGAAAAGAATCCATAGGTACTTGCCACCTTTATATACACCAGCAGTCCAAATTGAATGAAGTAGGTGTGTAACACAAGGACAGGTGGCTTTGAGGAAATTCGTTTTTGTGGGGGGCATTGTCAGTGGAGAGAGGGCATGGTGGAGCGAGTCAGTGTAGTTCAGTGGTTTGAACATTGGACTATAACTCTAGAGACTATGGTTTGATTCCCAGCTTAGCCAAGAAAACCACTGAGTGACCTTGGGTGAGTCACACACTCTTAGCAACAGAAAACGCTTTTGTCATAAGTCGGAAATGACTTGAAGGCACACAACAACAACAAATCAGTGAGTATGGTGGCCATTGTACTGTAGGACATGTAGTCCAAAATGATAACTTTTACAAGCATTGGTATTGCCTACCCAAATGCTTTACCAACATCACAGGCTTGCATATGACAATCTCCACCAATCACATTCATATTACAACCACTTGGGTTTTCAACATGGTGAAGCAGCTTCCTCCCAGTTACAGGTATGGCTCTAGTACAATACAGACACTATTTCAACTATCTATACTTTATAGCACTGACATTTTCCCCTCCCCTCCTTCATCCTTCCCTTTATATAACTCAGCTTCAGTAGGCTGCAAACAGAGGATTGGTTGGAGGGGAGTAATATCTTTTCTCTTTTCTAAAGCACCTTTTCAGGCCACAGGAAAGAGAATCAGGTACATTTCGATTAGATGAGTGGAAGGAGGAAAAAATGATCAAGCAGTCCCTTCTTCTTCCATTCGTCTGTTCAGATTTGTAATCTACTGTGGCTGTTTGGGATTTATTTTTAAATTATACTGAGAAATTAAAACTCCACCAATCATCAATGTATAGAACCGATGCATAAAGTATACGACTGTTCTGGCTGGGGGATTGTGAGAGTTGTCATTTAAAAAAGTAAAAGAATGAAAGGATACAAATTCCCACCTCCTGTGTGATGGTCCAAAGCCTTTTATTTCTGAAAAAGCCCAATGTGTTTTGGCCTGATCCCCAATTGTATAGATAAAGAACTGAAAGCACATAGGCAAGCAGCAGAGAAAGAGGAGACAAGCTCCAGTTGCTAAAATATGGTCAACTGTTTATTATTGTTTTAAAAAGCCCAATACATTTCGGCCACACTGGGTCTTCCTCAGGGGGCTTCAAAAGAATTGTGAACACTCTCCAAAATACAGGACCATAGAGATAAAGGGCATTTTCCTGTTCTTTAAAAAGTCTGGGAGAAGTCTGGGTCAGGTATGGGATGAATACTGCCCAGGGATGGAGCCATGCAATAGAATCCGTCCCCGTGCATTTACATCCCATGCCTAGCATGGGAATAAAAGCTGGTGCACTAATCTCCTTAGTTCAGCCAATTAGTAATCCTCCATGGTGGTAGAATTTAAAGACACAGCCATGTTAGCTGGAAAATCAGTATGCAAAGGGATCTTGTAGTACTTTTGAGACTAACTGAAAGAGGTTGGTAGCATGAGCTTTTGTAGACTTAAGCCTACTTCCTGAGATGCATGTTTGGAATCATGCATCTGAGGAAGTAGGCTCAAGCCTACGAAAGCTCAAGCTACCATCTTCTTTCTTTCATTAGTCTCAAAGTTGCTACAAGATAATTAATAATAATAATAATTAATTATCTGACCGATGACCTCCGCTTGAGTATTGACAGGGGTAGTGTG